CTGTGTTAGTAGAGAATATACAGCACACCATACTATCCTAATATCTGAAAAAGAGGCAGAAAAAGTGGTTGCTTTTAAAAGTTGGGGGTGGGGGGTAGACCCACATCTGAGGGATGTGGTAAGCATTGTGGAGGGGAAGGGCATACCTCTAACCCTTGCTAGGGAGAGGCAAAGATATAAAGTGTAACCAAAATGTTAAAAAAAAAATCATTTATCGGGTGTCTTGCAGGTGGGAGGGGGGGAGAAAGGGATGGGTATTTACATACATAGTGAGTGCGATGAGCATCGTCTGGGGCAGGCGTCCTCAAACTACAGCTCACAGGCCACATGCAGGTGTTTTTCCCATTTGTTTTTTTACTTCAAAATAAGACATGTGCAGTGTGCATCGGAATTAGTTCATAGTTTTTTTAAACTATAGTCCGTCCCTCCAACGGTCTGAGGGACAGTGAACTGGCCACCTGTTTAAAAAGTTTGAGGACCCCTGGTCTGGGGGATAGACATGCTTGAAACTCTGACTCGAAGGGGGAGGGGAGACAAGGGCAATGTATGTAACCTTAACGTCTGTACCCCCATATTATGCTGAAATGAAATTTAAAAAATTGATATGATAAATAATGCAGGGGTACAACACTTATGGAGGGGAATTTAAACCATCTGGCAGAATTGCAAATTTATCCAGTCTTTAACACAGCAATCCCACTTGTAGGAATCTATCTCAAAAAATAAACTAGCAAAAATACAACATGATGTATGTTTAAGATTATCCATTGCCAATAATTGAGGAGAATTGAGGCAATTCAGATGTCTGTCAATAGGAGACTTGTTGAATGAATTACAGTGCATCTAAACAATGGAGTATTATATAGTTATAAAAATGAATAAAAATTATCTCAATATACTTATGTAAAATAACTTGTAAGATGTATTATTAAGAAAAGGAAGGTACAGAAAAGTGTTTCTAGTATGCTGTCTTTTGTTTAAGAAAGGGGACTATGAATATGTAAATATAGTTGCTTGAATTACCAAGTGGTAATAATGGAAGGATAAACCAATAATCAATAAAAATGGGGATTTATAAGGAGAGGGAAGGAACAGGGTAGAAGAGCAGGAATACAAATAATTGTAGGGAAGAAAGAATTCTGAATTGAAAATGAACTGTAGTGTCCTCTATTAATTGACTTTACAATGTGAAGATAAATTACTGACAGAATTACATAATGGACATGAAAAAATTTGAATCTTCCTGCTCACACATGCATTATTGTTAGATTTATTTTGTAAAACTGGAAAAATTATATTTCATTGAAAATAGTGGACAAGAGTTGCAGTAAATCAGAATAACGCATTTTTTAATATTCATAAAGAGCTTAATGATAGTCACAAACAATTCTAGAAGAAATTGTTGATATTTTTATGTGAACATTTTAACAATTAAATGTACTGACTCATATTAGTTACTCCTCCACGAGAGAATACACTGGCTTAAGAACAGTCCAGATGTGAGAACTGAGTTAGAAATCTCTTTCCTCTGCTATTGCTCTCTAATATTTATTTAGTAAAAAATAACAACAATAAAAATTCTTCCTTTTAAAGAAATTTTTGGAGGTGCAGATGTTCCCACCTAAATAACATATATTTGGATTCAAAATACAAATGTCTGTTTACAAGTTGTCAAATTGCAGAGAATCTTAGGATGGTTTTGGTTATGCCACTTACATAGAATTTGTCTTTAAAATTGCTGAATACAAATTCTCTTTACTTATAATCAGGGTTTAACTGGTGCAAACAGGTAGATACTCTTTGTTCTTCCTTTAGAAGGCCTAGGGGATATGTACTTTAGTGGGACTAGGAAGAACAAACCATTATATTCCTGATAAAAGGAAGAAAAAATTTAAAATAATTCAGCAAAAGATATGACTTATGAAATTATAAGTCCTAAACTTGGCAAAGCTGAAACTTCAAAAATTGAAAAATATTAACTTGAAAAGTTACAAATTATAGTTTGTTCAGTTGGTTATCAGACTATGTAAATAGACTTGGGATGTGATTTCTGTATGATTTGGTTACTGTTACTCTCTTACAGGGCCATAGTCTTTACCAATACTTTTTAAATTGCAAATGACTACACATTATTAAGTTCTGAAATAAATTTAATGGATAGTGCCTAGTATTCTTAAATGAAATAGAATACCCTAGAATAGAAACTATCAGAGTACATTGTTTATAGTAAGGGTAAGTATTGGTTTATGAAACTTTTGTTTTGGTTACATATATATGAACATATGACTGTGTTGGGACATAAAATATATTTCTTACTATAGGTCATGTCAGAAAAAATTTTAAAACATTGTCTTATACTACTTACTGGAATTGAGTGTCTCATAAATGTTGACCCAGTGGTTTAGGAAGGGTAAATTGTGTTGAGGGACAATGTAATATTTATGTGTTTTCTTCTCCACACAGTGTCAACATATGTTCCTAAATGAGTAAACACATGTGGAAATTAGGATGAATTAATGTGTTTGATGTTCAGTGGATCTAGGAGTAACTCAGTACAAAATGAAATGAAAGTTTATCATACTGGTGTACTTGGGGTAACCAAAAGCTCCGGCACCCGGGGCTGTAGGTCCCTCTGCATTCCCTTCATCATACCCAAATGCTCACTTGCTGTTGGTAGAAAGGGGAAGGAAAAATGCTCTATTAAAAAGTCCTTCAAACAGCACCTCAAGCTAAAAAAAAACAGTCTTGAATAATAATCTTTTGAACCATAACCAAGATAGAGAACTTTTAGTATATGTTTTAGTATTAATTTGTATCTTGGGAATTTTCAGCCTAAAAGATCATACATTTAATGTTTCTATGGAACATCCAGTGAGTATTTAAAGGGGATAATGTATATGAAGCTGCAAAATGAGACATTTATATTTAGTACATTCATATTCTTACTTGTATTTTTTTTCCTTTCCAAGAAACATTAAAATTAAGTCATTTCTACTTGCAACTTGTATAGCAATTAAGTAATTAACTATGTCTTATTTAGATTCCACTTCTGCTGCAAAATTTCACTTTATCTCAGTATCTTTCCATTAACTATGTAATGGAATTGTCTTCTGTTCAAGGATAGCAACATGCTTTGTATAAATAAATAGAAAAAAACATTTTGTATAAGTTGAAAAATGATTCAGGCCCTTGGAATAAAAATAAAATGTTTTATGGTATATAAGAAAACATCTTTTCTATAAACCTTTTCATTTTGCAATTTTGCCATTATAAGATATAGTAAAATATGCCCCTTCAGACCTCTAAACATGAAAGCATGACTTACCTTGTGGCATTCTGCCTAACAACACCTGAGAGGGCAGAGACACATTCCAATGTGACATATATTTGAGTATGTTTTGCACAAATAATTAATTTGATTTGTAAATACATCAAAAAAAGATTCTAAATAGGCTGAAACTTGCATTTGTTTCACTTATGAAAACTATATAAGTCCCGTTTTAGTATTTTTTTCTTGCTTTTATTTCTCAAACTGACAGATTTTTTTTTGTATTGCACTGTAATTTATTCACTCTATAGTTTTTTTTTTAATTTCAAACTATTAAGGGAGTGCAAATGGTTTGGTTACATGGGTTACTTTTGTAATGCTTCAGTTACAGCTATAAGTGTGCCCATCACCCAAATGGTGTTCATTGTACCATTAGGTAGGTTTTTATCCTGTCCCTCCTCCCCACTCCTCCCACTTGATTTCCACTGAGTTTTTATTTTCTTTTTGAAGAAAAGCAGCAGGTATCCACTGAGATTTACTTCCCTCTGAGCACATGTGCTCTTATCGGTTAGTTCCAATTTAATACTGAGTATATGTGGTGTTTGTTTTTCCATTCTTTAGATACTTCACTTGGGATAAAGGTCTCCAGTTCCATCCAAATTGTTGCAAAGGGCATTAATTCATCCTTTTTTGTGGCTGAGTAGTACTCCACGGTATACATATACCACATTTTGTTAATCCACTCATGAATTGATGGTCACTTGGGCTGATTCCACATCTTTGCAATTGCGAATTGTGTTGCAATAAATGTTCCAGTTCAGGTGTCTTTTTGATAAAATGACTTCTTTTCCTTTCGGTTTATACCCAGTAGTGGGATTGCTGGATCAGATGGTAGGTATACTTTTAGTTCTTTGAGGAATCTCCATACTGTTTTGCATAGAGGTTGTATTAATGTGCAGCCCCACCAAAAGTCTATAAACATTCCTTTCTCTCTGCATCCACACCAGCATCTATTGTTTTTGGACTTTTTAATAAAAGCCATTCTGACGGGCATAAGATGATAGCTTATTATGGATTTAATTTGCATTTCCCTGATAATTAGTGATGTTGAGCATTTTTCATGAGCATTTGTCTACCTTCTTTTGAAAAGCTTCTGTTTTTGTCTTTTGCCCACTTATTTTTTATTTCAAAATATTACAGGGGTGCAAACACTTCAGTTACATAAATTGCCTTTGCACCACCTGACAAGCCTGCCCATCCCCTAGACAGTGCGTATCACATCCACTAGGTGTGGATTTATCCATCACCTCCTACCCTGTCCCACGTGCATTAGTGGTGTTAATACTAATGATTTGCATATTTTTCTTATACAGTTCAAGATGTCATCCTGTTAATAAGAATTCTTTATCAGGGATAAAAATGTATGTTACTAAATTGACAGAATATCCATTTATTTTCTATATTTTATCTCACTAACAAAAATGATGGGAACTGAGATGTTTGACTGCCTTCAATGTCTAGGAAATCAAATGACTTTTCTTCTCTGAATATGTGGCCAAATTTATTTTACTTTCCTCTTTAAACCAACACTCGATAATCAGACTACTCATGCACAAGTAGATGTAAGTGACTGAATTAAACATCAAAATATTAGATCATGGTAAGGTATATTTTTTGAAATTAAAGAGAATATATGTATTATCATTTAATCTTCTTTCTCCTTATTCTTCAGAGAAATGATGAAGAGGCAGTTGTGGATAGAGGTGGAACTCGTTCTATTCTCAAAACACACTTTGAGAAAGAAGACTTAGAAGGTAAGATATTCTGTTTGTTGGGGTAGCCATTGGTGAGGTTTCTGAAAGTATTTCAAAGACTAATGTGAATTTTGTCAAATTGTGGAAATTGCAAAAGTTGATATATAAGAGTAATAGTAGTGCATTGGTGGTGGTCAAGGGTAGATATGATTGTTTCAATACAGTTGGGGAAGCTGATAGATCTCCAAACAATGAGAAGCCTTCATTCATCTAAAAGACATTTAAAGAACCCCACTATATTACAGGCACTGTGTTGTATGCCAGTCCTTCAATAATCCTTGCTTTAAGGAATTATAATCAATTGGGAAAAGAAAAGAAAAGAAATGATGACAGATCAGCATATCAAGTGCTGTATGAGAGATGAGTATAGGACAGGAGTAGTGTCTAACTCAGCCTATGTTGTCAGAGTAGGCTGTCACTGGAAGAGAGTTAAGGAGAATTGGAATTCTGGTTTTGCTCGGATATGGATATATATAACACACAGGTGGAGGCACCATTTATGTGTGTTCTTTTCAGTAGGAGGGGCAGCCAATCCAACAGGGAGGTAGTATGGTCAAGTGGTTAACTGTTAATTTCTCTGTACCCTAGTTTTCTTAACTGTTAAAACAAGGATAACAATGGAATATATTTCCTAAAGTTTTTATGAGAATTAAGGGAAAAGTACTTAGAATAGAGTTAGCATAAAAGTTAAGTAAGTATTGACTATTATTGTTCCATCACAATTTAACATTCTCAAAGCATTAGTTCATTTTTATTTTTTAACCAGAACTTATTACTAGTGAGATACAAGGTATATAGTATTTGTCATCTTTTGATTAAAAAGTGAAACTCAGGTGATCTTAAGAACAAATAATCAGAGAAAGCTCCCAATAAACCACTGAGCTGAGAGGTAAGGGTTTTTTCACTTCTTTAATGTAATGTAACCATTTAAATTACAATTAAATTCATTGTTCTTGGATCTTATCTGTAGCCACAACAATTACATAACAGGGGAGTTAATATAATATTTCCAGAAACAACTTTCAACTACTATACCTACTCTGTGCCTGACATTTTGCTTGGTACACAGAAAATACCCAGGTCCAAGAAAGTTATACTCATTGGGTTGGCCTAGTGGTTTGCTATGCTATACACATTCATTACATAAATTGAAGCAAGCAAAACCTTGAAAAATCTAAACTCATAATGGATAATGTAAAAATAATTTCCCTTTGAGTTTGAAATGCCATTATATTACATTTTTTAATAGCATATCTGTCTTCCTATTTATGTCATGCCATGACAAGCTATTTTTATATTCACTAAACACATACCAAAAAAAATCTAACAAAGGAAGAAGTAGGTCTAGAAATATACTCAATTCCATGGAAAAGTCATCTTGTTTAAAGATCGTGCTGCATAATCTACACACAGGTAATTGCAAATTAACGATTACTAATTTATAAACAATTACAGTAAAATGCTGAATAGTTCTTTTGAAGAGAAAATACATAATGCAAAAATAAGATATAGTAAGATCAGTTTAATTATGATATCTACACGTATTACATACATTTTTCTTTGCTGAGCATGGTTAGCAAATATAGGTGATGGTGTACAAAGCTTATTAAAAGATATTTCTGATTGGGAGGATACAATTGGATTAACTAGATTTTGTTCTATTTACTGATGTCAATAGTGGGTATTTTAACCCCAGAAGCTAATAATTGTGGCTAAGTCATTGGTAATTGAAATTAACCACAGAATGCATAGGTAATATTGCATTTTAGTATTTTAAAGGAAAATAGGAGTAAACCTTATGTATATTGACTTTCTAATATTTGTTCTGCCCCCAGCCACCACTAAATAGATAAGCAGTCTACCATTTGAGGATGTTATGAAGGGTTCTGCTGCGATGCACACCATGATTTAATAGATCTGTTAGTGGGTCTTGATTGATTGACCAGAATTAGAAAATAATGCAAGGGTAATGTGATGGATGTCATGGTTCAGGAAGAATCAGCTGACAACAGAATATCAAATGAGTAAGCGGGAGAGGACCAGTGAGAAGGGTAGCGTTACTGAGGTAATCGTGGTGGTAATTTCTCTTCTGTTTTGTGCTGATATAGCAGAATACCACAGACTGGATAATTTATAAAGAAAAGAAATTTATTTCTCACAGTTCTGGAGACTGGGAAGTCTAAGACTGAGGGGCCCATATAAGGCAAGGGCCTTTGTGCTGTGTCATCACCCCATGGTGGTAGGAGGAAGGGTGAGAGAGGTGGAGAGAGATGGAACCATGGAATGCAGAGCCTCAGTCCCTTTTATAATCCGCATTAATCCATTCATGAGAGAAGGGCCCTCACGACCTAACCACTACCCATTAGGCCCCATCCCCCAGCACTGTTGCATTGGGGATTAAGTTTCCAACTCACGCTTTGTGGGAGACAAATTCAAGCCATAGCATTCTCCTTTTGTGCAATTAAAGGGAAAAGAACAGAACTACTTTCTAAGAGCTTCTTTAGTAATATAGATAATACACACTAAATATTTTTAATGAATTAGAGCTGGGAATTGCTATTGTAGACAAATACATTTTTAAAATATAAATTTTTTCATTAAGATTTTAATTTTGAAAATCTCAGGATTTTTGTGTATATACTTAGTTAATAAAATTACAGGTATAATTTAACATCCTGAGTACAGCTTGTAGAAATGGCAGGTGGTTAAAAATAGATATAAAATCTCAGGTGCAATATATTTAATGGAAAATGATCACCTGCTCAATAACAACAGCTTGAGGTAATATATTAGTTAATTTATTCATATATATATATTGTACATTCTGATGAATGATATGTGAAGTGTTTAATTTTCTCCTCCCAAACTTATTTCTTTTTTGTTTTACATATATTAATATCTTATACCATTTTTATGTCTTCTACTACCTAAAATCAAAAGAATATGATTTTATTAGATTCTGTTCACTCCCTATTTTTGTACATTATGCAGTGAATTCTTTGAATCTATCTCAATGGTATCTCGTCTCATCCCCTCCCTTCCATTCCCACTGCCACTGCTCTAGTCCTTTCTCTCTTCCATGTGCTATGTATTGTGTCTTTCCCATAATCCAGCCTCCTTAATAGTGCTAGAGTGTTCTTTCTAAGCCTACTTCTGCTTCCTATGGTAAAACGTAGTGAAGGGCATCGAATCCCTATAATTAGATAACCTCAGGATTCCGAGTAGAGAAAAATTGTTGAGATTAACCATTTCCTATTTTTGATCTCCCATGTCAGTGTGAGATCAATACTATCTAAAGTATAAGATTCCTAAAGGAGAAAGACATTAATACCCTTAAAATTCTTTCTTTTACTTGCCCTTTAATACATGTGTTGTGGATAGTGTTGCCATAATAGGATGCCAAGCTAAATTTGAATTTTAGATAAATGATAAATAACTTTTTAGTGGAGGTATGTCCCATGCAATATTTTGTTGATTGTTTTTTATTTGCTCAATCTGGGAACGCTAGTAGTGGATGTTACAATGAACTACCAATATTGCCCCAAAGGTTTGAGGCATTTATTTCCTCAGTTGCCAGAGGTATTACCTGCTGATGACTCACACCTATATCTTTCCCTGGGGATTACTGTCAGCTGAAAGGAGCTGCCCCTTGCCTGTGGGAGCTGCCTACCCTGTGGCATGCTAATTCAATGAATTATCAATGAAGGAATACAAAAGCCTGGCCCCTTTGCCTCAATGTGAGATAACTCTGCAGGAATGTCCCAGCTTCAGAGTTCCCTGTGGAATTCACTGAGGCCTCTATTGCAACTGCATCATAATTCAACTTCTCCCTTGTACCAAATCCTGCTTCCCATAATCCTTCACAAGTGTTATTGCTGACAGTTCTCTTCAACAAACTCCTTGAACACAAATCTCTAAGACTCTGTTTCCTGGGGAACCCAACACCTCCATTGATCATTTCCCTCATCCCTAAATAGTACCGCTAGATAAACTTGGTAGTCAGCAGGACCCTCGCATTGTTTATTTCACCTGTGGGGTTAAGAACTAGTGGGTTAGAAGACTCTGAAACGACTTGACTTGGCCATAATAGTAAATTAAAATCAGTGTGGCATTTGAAGAGGCACAGCAGGGATTAGTGCCACCTATAAAGACCTAAAGTATGCATCAGCCTGGCCACAACAGAAACTTGTCCAATCCTAGAGGTTGATAGTAGACTACCTTAAACTCAACCAAGTGGTAGCACCAGTTGCAGCTGCTGTCTCGGATGTAGAATATTTGCTAGAGCAGGTCAACATGGCCTCGGGACCATGGTATGCAGCTATTGATCGGGAAAATGCATTATTTTTCTTGTTACTACCAAGGAGTATCAGAAGCAGTTAACGTTCCGTTGGGAGGTACAACGGTACACATTTATGGTTTTGCTCCTGAGATGTGTTAACTCTCCTACCTTCTGTCATAATAGAGTCCAAACAGATTTGCACTGAGTGGATGTTCCGTAGAACCTCCCACTTGTTCACTTTACTGACTGACTGAACAAGAAATGGAAAGTTTGTTTGAGGTCCTGGTAAGACAGACACACTTCAAAGCCTATTTCCCAATGAATCTGTTTAAAAGACAACATGAAAGCTGGGCAGAGTGCCACACTATGTTAAGCCTGAAACTCCAGGGTGGATAGATAGATTGGGTCAGTTTCCACATAGATTCAATAAAAGTAACCCAGTGTCCATTTAGTTACTCTTACCTCAATTCTCTCTTCATTGTTTACCCTTGTCCTGTCCAGTTTTTCTCAGAATGGATGACTGTATTTAAAAAAAATTATAATGAATATTTTATTTTTTTCAGACATGCCTATGATTGTGTCTTCTGTAGGCATACTAGTAAATTAATGAAGCAAGTTCCTAAAACAGTATGTCCTATTAACTAATTAGGTGCTCATAAAGTGAATAAAATTCAATACCCAAATGTGACATGCAATCATTTTAGCCGTTTTGACTGAATTG